ATAAGGCCCCTGCCAGTGGACGTCTTACTCCCTCTGGTCTCCCCTACCCTGTGTTATTTGGGAGGGATTCTTCTTTCTCAAGCCTATGCCTCCTTCTCCAGCAGAGACAGGTTCCAGGCAGAGCCTCCAACCCCTCCAGGTACCCCCCACCAAGCTGGCCAGATGGGCAGGCCGCTGTGGCCAGCCACTCAGCGGGGGCTGGATCCAGCGGTAAGTCCCTCTATTTTGTGCAAGAACACAGGAGGGGGTGGCTGCACATTGGGGGACTTGTGGAGTCACAGTCCCCAGTGAGAATATCCAGGACTTTCGTATAGAGACCTTGGACTGTTCCCCTGTGTTTGGGGCAGCCCTAAGATACAAGCCCAGGACTCTTGCTCAAGGTCATTGCAGGGACCTGCCATAGTTCTGGGGTCCCCACAACCTGGAGTACACCCTGTGTGCTTCTCCCCCTTGTGGCTTGAGCCTCTGCCCAGCTGGCCTGGGAGCGTTGCGCTGAGCCAGCCTGACCAGCCCATGCATCTCCCCCAGCTGCTACGAGGTGAGCCTACGTGGGTGCCTCCTGCAGGACCTCTTCGTGAACTTCTCACGGCCTCCGGGAAGCCGGAAGGAGGAGCGCTTCGCATGCCGCCTTGGCGAGATCCAGGTGCACATCCGGGAGGGTCCCAGCCGAGGTGTCTGTCTCCTGTCCTGGGGAGGGCTGCCTGGGGCTCTCCCTGGTCCTGCAGGGAGGTGGGCAGGCAGCCTCTCCTTCCCGGGGCCCAGCTGGCTGAGCCTTCTCTCCTGCCAGGTGGTGGATGCTGACAGCCTGCTGGCCCCTCTGCACCAGGTGCAGGACGTCACTGTCTCCCAGGTCCGCTGGCAGCAGCCCGCCCCTGTACTGGAGGGCCGACCGGTCCGGCTCAGGCTCAGCTGCCTGCTGCACTGGTCCTACCTCCTCCTCCAGGTGCGGTGCTTCCGAGTCCACTGCTGGGAAGGGACTAGAAGTGACTCTCCCAGCAGAGAGCCTGCAGGGCCAGAGAAGCCCACATTCCTGGGCCTGGCTTTTGCCAACCAGTACCGGGTGGTGGACTTGGTGGTGGAGGCTGCTGGACCCGGCCAGGATGGCCGTGTGGAGTTCCTGGTGGAGCCTGTCCCCAGGGAGGGCTTCCTGGTGCCTCAGGCGGAGTGGGGCAGGGCGGCCCTGCTCTACTCCTCCCCACGGTGAGCCAACCCAAGGCAGACTCCTCCTCACTCAAGACTCCAGGTTTTTTGGTGGCTGCTTCAAGCTGCCCTAGGTCCCACTAAGGAGGGTCAGGGCCTTAGAGGGTTGCTCCCCAGCTCCGGCTGTGGCCTTTGGTGGGGCATTGGTTGTAGGAAGCAGATTGCTGACTGATGGTTCTGCTGTTTGTGGGACCCCTCTCCACAGTGCGCAGTTCCCAGGGAAAAAGGAAAGGATCTGGGGAGGTTTTGTCTAGAAAATTACATAAAGGATGTTCCCTAACAGGCTGAAAGGCTTTGATGCTGAGAACAGTGACCTTTTGTTCCTGAAGACCCAACTGCAGTGGTGGCAGGGAGGCTCTGCAGCAGAGCAAGGGCCCATGGGAGGTCTTCTGAGGTGGCCCTCAGGGTGGTGGGCAGGAACCAGGGCTGTCTGCAGGTGTCTTGGGTGATGGAGCTCAGGGCTGGCTGCACTGCGTCATGCCCCCAGCTGGGGAAGGCGGGCTGCCACTGACCAGACCACTGCGGGAGCCAGCAGGCCTTGGCCTCTGCTGAGTCTCCTCCAGGTGACAGGCTCGCAGGGGGCTTCCACTTAGGCAGTGTGGCCCGGGGCGCCTGCCGCCCCTTTCCCTCTGCTCTCTGCCTTCCCCCTCCCTGGCGGCTGTGGCCCGTTGACACCGTCTTTCGGCCTCAGTGGTGCAGCCTGGCCCCTGCTCTCCTTCGTGTGCCTGCGTGGAGTCTGCTGTGATCATGGACAGGGTCAGAGGTTTGCAGGGGTGTCGCCCCCAGGCCACATAGGGCCACTGTTGGGGCTCACCTTCTCTGCCCCTGTCCTCTTTCTATGCTGGGGGCTGGGATACTCTGAGCCCAGCTGGAGGTCTTACCTGGGGCGGGATCTGTGGTAAGGGAAGAGGCCACCAGGTGGCCAGTGTAGGGGACTGACCAGCTGGACCAGGCCAGGAACCTAGAGGGCAGGGGCTCAGCTCTGCCCCTCTCCCTCCCCGTGTTCCCTGGTCCTCTCTGGAGTGGAGTTCCATGCTCCTTCCTGACTGAATGTTCTTCCGTGTCTCCCAAGGGCCACCCAGCCCTCAGGTGGACAAGTGAGGACCCAGGGCATGGGGCAGGGCCATGTCTTCCCCAGCTGGGGGTATGACACGGTGCCAGCCAGCCGTGTCTCTCTGGCTACTCCAAAACTGAGCTCACCAGTGCTGGCCTTCCTGCGTTCTAGACAGCTTCGACGGTCTGTTCTGGGACCGGGAGACCATGGCCGCTCCTGCCGGCCTGCCATGTGCTCTGCTCGCCGCTTCCTCTAATTTGGATCTCCAGTTTGCCATTCCCCGGAGCGCGCTCAGCCCGGGTGCCCAGAGGAGGCGTTGGGGTGCAGGGCTGGCCGGGCTGCCCACCTGGCCTTGGGGCCCTGGCTGCCAGATGCCCAACAGCCACGTCAGTGCCCCGTTTCCCCCGTTTCCTGAGGCCTGGCTTTACTTATTTATTTTTAAGTGCTGGTTCTTCCAAATATTTTATGTAGAGAAGAAGGGAAAATTTATAGTGGCAGTTATTTTCTCACAGTCTGGTGAGCAAGCAATTAGAAGTGAGGGGGCTTAGTGGAGCATGGCATGTGGCAGAGCCATGCAACCCCGCTCCCCAGGAGCACGGTCCCCAGTCCCAGCAATACAAACTTCTATGCAAGAAAATTAATCTGCCGGCATTTAAGCCTGGGCCCCTTTGGTGGGTGTAATCACTCTGAAATAAATGATCCAATGTGATGAAAAACGAGAGCTCGTGTCTTGGTGAGAGATCTGGCTCCTTCCCTGGCCCCAGCCCGTGGCGTTTAAGCTCTTGGTTTGGATTCTGCTGCTTCCCCTCCCCTTCTCCATCCTTACTTGCCTCTGGCCACTCTCCCAGCTCTGCTCTGGCCCTGTCCACCCTTGCAGGAGCGAGGGCTCAGAACCTGGAGGTGGGAGAAGCGTGGCAGCTCCTCATGGGTCACAGTTCAGGGCTGACCACGCCAGAGAGGCCGAGTCTTTGGGAGTCCTGGAGGGTCGTCAGCCACAGATGTGCCACGTCCACCCCAGCTCTGTGCCCTCTCTGCATCAGCTGACCAGCACAGCTGTGGCTGTGCCCAGGCTGACCCTCCCATCTCTAGGCTGCATTCTGCCCCAGTGAGGTCGCGCTGCCCGGGAGAGGAGACCATGCCACTCCTCCCTTTGCTGGTTCAGTCTGTCCCCGATTAGGGTGCAGAAGGCCAGCCTGGAGAAGAGGGTTGGGACTTTAAAATCTCTTGCCCAGAGGGTCTTTCCCCTCCCCATTGCCTCCTGGTGGGGAATAGGTGCCTGTTCTGGGTGTAGCCTGCACCCCAGTCCTGTGTGTCCCCCGGTGCCCAGAGCTGCTAAATCAGAAAGAGCTGTCCTGGCTTGCAGAAAGAAATCTTTATTAATAATCTTAATAATAATAATAATACTGTTAATTTGAATGGTCACACCTTGGAAGCATACAGAATGGTAAGAAAGGAAGCCTGGGGCTCGGCTGCAGTCCTGGGGTGGGGGCCGGGGCGAGGGGTCTGAGCTGCTGCGAGAAAAGGGTCCAGAACAGCCGAGGGCGGGGGCTCTGCGGAGGGCGGAGCCGAGGGCGGGCTGTGCACAAGGGGAATAGAAAAGGAGGGTCGTCCCAGAGCTTCGGTACTGACGCTGAATAGAAAGTGAGGTGTCATTTATTTTTGAAGTTTCATGAGACAGTGGAGCTGTGTGGGGAGCCCGTGTGGGGTTTTTTGCTGCTTCCCTACTCCAGCTATCCCTGCCTTGCCGGGGCTCCTCGCTGCCACCGCCACCTGCTCTCTGCACCACCGGCCTCCGTCCCATGTCTCACCTGCCAGGAGCCTGGAGGGGTGTGGCCCAGCTGGCCTCCCGCCTCCCTCCCCCTTCTGTGGGCCCTGCCCTGGCTTGTTCGTCTGTACCCTAGCACCGTGACTCCCCACCTGGCAACACAGCTGGGTGCTGGCCCGCCCTGGCCCCTCAGCTCCCTGGCTGGGGAGGGGTGGGGAGGGCTGGGTTCCAACAGGTTGGCCTCAGTCCCATAGGCCGGGCCCAGGGCCCCTCCAAGAAAGGACAGAGATGGCCACTAGGTGCAAGTGCTCTGCCTCAGGGCCCACCAGTCCACCCTCCTTGGCGGGAGTGGCCCCCGCCGCTGGGCTTCGTCTGCTCTGCTCTGCTCTGCTCTGCTCTGCCGCTGGGGCACTCTCAACATGGGGCGGAGGGCGAGGGGCACCCAGAGTTCTGGAGCCACATGGGCCCTTGCGTTGGAGTTGGACCCCAGGGCTGCTGGTCGGACAGCTAAGGACACGGACGGCACCGCAGGGCCTGCGGGGAGCAACGTAGGTGATGGGGCCATGCTGGAGCCCCAGGGATGACAAGCCACCGGCCCTCCCTGCACCCGCACCCAGCCCCGCCAGGGCACAGCTGGCAACAGACTGCGTCCTGCTGGCTGCTCTTCTGGCTCAGGCCAGGCCTGCTCCGCCGCGGAGCCCCACGCCTGTGGAGCAGGAGCCGGGGAAGGCAGACGGGCTAGAGCCCCTGCTGGCCGCCATCAGGCCTTTCCCCTCCAACTCTCCCACTGCGCCCGCTGGGAAGGACACGTCCCCACAGCGCCGCCAGCTGGGCAGGGCCGCTCTCCACGTGCCCTGTGGGCCGTGCTCCTCGGTGCGGTGTGCGACAGACGCGGACTTGGACTCGGTTGGATGCCTCTGGGTTGGTTGGTTTTTTTGTTGCTTGGATCTTAACATCTTTTTTTTTTTGTTTTGTTTTTTGTTTTGTGATTTTTTTTGTTTTTTTGTTTTTGCCCTTCATGGTCCGAGAAGGAAACGGTGGAAGGTTTCACTACAACAGAAACAGAAAGGCGCCACTTGCAGTTTCTCAGGAGCAGCCAGGCTAGGGGTCCCAGCACCTGCCCCTGCCCCTGGCCGCCGGCCCCCACCCTCCTGCACGCTAGACCTCAGCAGACCTGTCTCCTGGGGCCAGTCAGGCTGCTGGTGGGTGTGCGGGGCCAGGACAGGGCTGTGGGAGGGCAGAGCCTGGCTGGAAGGAGCTGCCTGGGAGCTGGGATGGGGAGAGCGGAGGCCAGGTCTGGCCACCAGGCAGGAGGCTGGGCAGCAGCAGGGCGTAAGAGGGAGGTGGCAGCACAGGCTGAGCAGGGGCCCTGGGTGAGAAGGCAGAGTGGGAGGGGGGGTGGGGCAGGGTGCCACTGCGGAGTGGGACAGGTGCGCCCCGCAGCCCTGTAGTCCAGAGGGAGGCGCTCCTTCCACCTGGGGAGGTGCAGACACATGTGCCCTGGGGCCAGCACCTGGAACAGCCCTTCCTGTCTTGGCGGCTCCCTAGGCTCCCTGCCTGACTTCAGGCCCAGCCTGCATCCCCAGGACTGCCCACAGTGGGACAAGGCGGGTCCCTGCAGGCCACGAAGCTGTGCACACAGTCCAAGTGAGGCTGGAGTGGCCATGGGAGACCTGGGGAAGGGTACCCTGTGCTCCTTGCCTGCCTCTGGTGGAGGAATTTCCCCTTCCGGATGGACCCTGGGGACAGTGAGGGTGGTGCTGCAGCTCAGGGACAATCACCCGGAGGCCGGCTAACAGGGCCCACTGCAGAGCTAAAGCGCCACCTATGGAGCAGGGGGGGATTTGCCCCATGTCAGGCACGGGTCCTGGGGAGGCCCAGGGCTCAGCAGGGAAGGTGGCCCTGGGCCTGGGGTACTCTCTACATCTCCTTTCCTCACGGCAGCACCGAGGAGTCCCGGGGAGTGGTGTGGCGTCGGTAGCCTACACACAGAGCAATGTGCTTGTGACCATGTCATCATTAAAAATTTAATTAGAAACATCAGCCTCAACTGAGTGGGGACAGGGAGGGTGTAGCGGAGCCAGGTGGACCCTGGGGGAGGCCGGCTGTGCAGGGGGCTGGCTGTGGCAGCTGTGAGAGAGGCCTGACCCAGTGTTTCTGGAGCTGTGTGGAGCAGGCCATCCTCTGGGTGCTACTGCTAATGGTGGGGGCTGCCTGTGCTCCCCAGCTGGCCCCCGCCGTGTGCATACTGTACCTGCAGTGGCTTGGGCAGCACAACATCAACAAAGTCAAGATAGGAACCAAGGTTCAGACATACGGAAAACCAGGTCAAAGACACACACACCGTCATGGGCAGGGTGGGGAGCCCAGCTGGCTGGAGGTAAAATCTATGGGCTTTAGAGTCGCGGAGGGCCAGCGGCGCGGTCGCTGACCGGGAGGGGCGCACTGTCCTCCTGGTGGCTGTGCCTGGTGTTTGGGCTGTAGGGTTTGGTTTGGAATAGGCAGTAGTGTGAATGCTGTTAGGGGCGGGTCTCTTGCTAGTAGGGGGTGAAGCGGCTGTACCCTCCTCGGCAGAGGCTAGCCTGCAACATCAAAGATGGAGAACAGCCAATCAGTACCGTCCTTGGGTAAGGGGAGAAAAAGCAAAAAGAAAAAAAATAAGGAAAAACAAAAAGAGAAATTGCTAAATCCCGTTTTCTTTCCCCTTTTTAGTTGTCCTTGGGAAGAGTGGGTGTCATGTTGACATGGCAACAGGGGGCAGGGGCCTGGTCCTTATGTGGAGTGGCTGGGGCCGGGAGGGGCACTCCTGACTCACAGGCTTTTGAACCATCCCCTTGTCTTCCGGCAGAGGGAGGTCCCAAGGACAGCCCCACTTTCTCAGCTCCTGACGGGGTTTCCTGATGGCCCAGCTTCAGAGGGCCTCTCTGGGGACTGGCAAGGTCATGGTGTGGGGGGCTTGCTGGGCTGCGCTGTGTCCTGCCAGGGAGGTCTGGTCTCGGGGGCTCCTGCCTTTGCTATCCTGGGCCTCCCCACCCCCCACCAGTTTTGCCAGAAAAGGGAAGAAAATGGCAAATACGAGAGGAGAAAAACGGGGGAAAATAGAAAAATCTCAGAAGTAAAAAAGTGAAAATACAAGAGGAACCCTCTGAGAATCAATGAACGCTTTTAGCTAGCAGCTGCGTTGAGGGCCTCTGTGCCGGAAGCCCAGGGCTGCAGCCACAGGTCAGGGCCTCGTCCAGGGGGCCGTGGCAGCCTCTCCAGAGCCTGCCCTCCTTGGCTGCTCACAGCTGCTCCGATGTCCGAGGTTTGTTAAAATTAAAAAAAGGCCAAGCAAAAACTGGGAGGGAGTAATCAAAACCAGGGAGGGGGGTGCCCAGCTCTCCTTCCCCTGGACGCCTCCCTCGACTCCCCCAGGATGTTTTCATCTTTGATGCAGGTGGCCAGGCTGGCTACAGACATATCAGCACCCTGCCGGGGCCGGGGCACAGGAGGTGGGTGTGCACTGGAAGCAGATTTGGGGCACAGAGGGAGCTGGACCACACGTGGACAGCTGGCCACACACACACACACACACAGACACACTGGCCACACGCCTCTGGTAGCAGAGGTGTCCACCCTGCACTGCCCTCTCCACCCCTCAGGGATGAGGCCACTGGGAAGCGGATGCCATTTCCTCAGAAGCCCTGCAGCCCTGGAAAGTCCAGGAGGAGGGGCCTGGTGAGGGACAGTGGGTGGTCTCTGTCCCCTCCCCTATGAGCTGGAGGAGGGGCTGGGCTCAAACACCCCCCCAGGGGAAGCCAGTCTGCCCCCCAGCAGCAAGCAGCCCCACCTCTGGAACCTCTGTGAAGGGCAGGGGCTGTGGACAGGTCTTTGGCTTTCCTGGTGGTGGGAAACGAGGGGCCTTGACAGGACTTTGGTTATGGGCTCAGGAAAACAGGTCCAGAGGGGTGCTTCCCATCTGGTCAGACCTGCCTCCCTCAACGGGGAGAGGGTGCCAAGGGGCAAGCCCTCTCCCACCCCAACTCGAGTCCGTGCTGCGGCCCTTCCAAGGTCACAGGATGAGGCACTGGCTGGAGGTCTTGGCCTCTCAGAAGGGCCCTTCCCCACCCGCCTGGCCACACCGATGTGGCCTCCTTGCCATGACTGGTGCCAGGGGCCAGGTGGACCCAGACTTCTTACCATGGTTCCGATGCTGTAGGTCGCCGCAGGGCCGATGGTGTGATGGTAGGGGTCAGCAGCTGCGTAGACTCTGCCGTAACTAGGGGAAGGCACCGCAGGGAGGGGGCAGGGGAGGGGCAGGTGAGGGGCAGCAGGCCTCCCATAGCCTCCAAACCAGTTACTGAATGAACCTCCTTCTGTGGGTCCCAGCCACAGGCCCCCACCTCTCCCACAAGGCCCTCACGGTTCATCCTTCCTCCCTGTTGGAAGGAAGTTTCTGGAACCCAACAGGACACCCTTTCAATACGCCCAGTGTACGCTGACCTGACCACAGGCAACGTGTCCTACGTAGCGCTACCTGGAGCGGGGAAAAGAGTCCTCCCTGAGCTTGTCTGGAAGGAAAATAGACTTCATTCCCCCAAAGAACAGGAACCAAGTGCTGGGAAACGGTTCCAGAGAGGGACCTGGGGCAACCAGAGTCACGGCCACCAAGGAGGTGGCAGTGTGTCCCCAGATGACCTTCCTTCACCCCATTTATCTGTAGTGACTTCTTAGCTTCTTTCAGGACAGGCTGGGCCATGGGGCCCTGCATGCCATGATGCAAGGAGGGCCAGGCTGCCCCAGGTCAGAGTGGGTGTGTGGACAAGAGCCACAGCAGCCCTTGATGAAGTGCTCCTGTATGGTCCCAACAGGAACTCTGTGTCCACCAGGCCCAGTGACCAAGGGAAGAGGCCCTGGGCACAGCCACTCCACGGGGGAAGTACTTGAGACCCTGCCCCCTGAAACAAAGCCTGGCATCTACAGCCTTCTCCCTGGGCATGCTCACTGAGGGGTGGAGGGCTGGCTGCTCCCAGAGGGTGCACACTGCCTACCTGATCTCATCCCATTCCGCGGGGGAGGGGGCTGGGCACCTGCCCTTCTCTGAGCTAGAGCGTTTCAGTCCTAAAAGTGCTAATGAAGACCAGAGCTGTCTCCAGGGGCCAATCTGAGGCTCCAAATTATCTTCACTGGGGCCTTGAGAGCTGCAGGGGGGGTCAGACCTCAGGGATGGGAATCTGCTACCTGAGGTGTTAACTGCTGCCTAAGAACTGGGGGTTTCCCCCATTTCCCCAGTGTACAAATAGGAAGCGACTAAAGTCAAGGGCTCACTGGCTCCAGGGTCTCTGAGCCACACTGGGACCTGCTCTCCTGCAATCTTGCACCCATGAGGCACAAGTACCCCAGCCCCTGAGTGGCACCGAGTCTTCCTGTGTGTCTGGGCCCAGCCTTCCGGGACCCTGTACTGTCGTCTCCCCATGTCTCACCTGTCACTGTAGGCTGCTGCTGCTGCTGCTGGCTGAGCATATCTGTAGGCTGCGTAGCCTCCCTGCGGGGAGGAAGGAGGAAGAGATGGCAGAGGCACTTAGTGAGGCTCACCCAGGGATAGACCCAGCCAGGGCCTTTCCTGGGGCAGACACACACCCTGTGGGGCTGGGCCCTAGGGCGGGGCTATGGACCTCCTCAGTCCCCAGCCTTTCAACTTCCACCTTGGCCTGGGGCAGCGTAGGTGGTGCCTGGCCTGGGCACCTGGCTTCTGGTCTAATGGAGATCTGAGGATTGTCAAGTGGATGGTTCCAGATGAAGCAGGGCTATCTGTTCATGCCATTCATCCATCCATTCTCGCACCTGGTAGTGCATTCAGTACACTAGCGGGTACCTGCCTCTGGCCGTGTGCTGGCCTATGGCACATCTCAGGTGTCCATAGATCTACCAACAGGCCACCTCCTGACTTGGGTGCAGAAAGAGAACCCTGGGGAGCTCTGGATGCTAACCTAGGCCCTAGGAATGGACAAGGGCAAAGGGTTCAAGAAGGCATTAATTCAGAGATGTCTTGGGCTCAGATGAGCAGGTAACGCAATAATGGACGACTGCCCAGGGCAGGGGCAGGGACAGATGAGAGGGCTCCAAGCCAGAGGAAGCAGTACGTGCAGCCCCAAGAAGGGAGAGAGAAGCCATAGGACTCCAGGGGATATAGGCTCAAGAACAAAGGCAACTTGTGGCCCTGCTTCCTGGCCTCTTTGGGGCCTCCACACTGGACAGGGGTGTTCCTGGGGGCTCACTCACTGACCACAGTGTGCTTAGAAGTGGAAGAGCTGCTACTGCCCCATCCATCACAGTCCTTGCCAAACAGACAAAATGCCTTTAGCTTATAGGGCTGCTGGGAGACCCAATACCACTCCCTCGATGCAAACTGACAACCCAGACTGGGCCTGGCTGGACTCCCCAGGGGTGCCAGGTTGTGCCGATCAGTGCCCTCGCTCTCTTAAGGATGGGAGGGGGCCAGGAGGAGTGGGGCCACTAGAGGGGATACACTGCTCACAGAGACAAACAGAACAGCCTACACCACCCTCCCCTTCCAGGGCTGCACTTACATAAATCTCAGCACCATAAAATCCATCCTGATACACGACCCTGGAAGCAAACGGACAAGAGAGTGGTGGGAACGCTGGAGAGGTGGGGTAGGCCGGCTCCGGTGTCTGCTGAGGAGGGAGGGGGCACGGTGCCAGCCCCGCCCACGGGACTGGCATTTTAACAAGCGTTTGCTCCAGTGCCCTGTTTGGTATAACAATAGAGTAACACCCTTGCTGGTCAGCTCCTTTCTCCCAAAAACCCAGGGGCCCATCGGCCCAGTCAGGCTTGCCCTCCCCCCCTCCCCCAGGCAGTCCTTCAGCGGGGAGGACACTGGACCACGGGGAAGGACCAGAGAAGGCTCGAAGAAGTGCCTCGCTGTGGACCCAAGGGCTCACAACTCCCCCCTTGAAAGCATCCGGAACAGGTTCCGGCGCTAAGCGACCCCTAAATGCCAGTGACCCTTGGCGGTATCCCCGTGGGGGAGGTGGGGTAGTGGGGATGCGGGCGGTTGCAGCGCTACCTTCTGGGGCTCCCGCCACCCCGTATCCCCAGTTCTGTTAAGGCTGCGGAGACCCCCCAGCCGCTGCACAGGCCGCCCCCGCGCGCCCCGCCGTCCCCCGGCCTCCCGCTTCGGGTACTCACGCTCCGTAAGTCGGGATCGGGGGCGGAGGCGGCGCGGCCCGAAACGTGTTATACACGGCCCTGCCCCGGCCCCGTAGGTGCGCGCCCCGGTAGGCAACGGCTGTGCCCGTGGTGGGGTAGGGGAAGCCGGTCACTGCAGGAAAGGGGCGCGAGAGAAGAGTGGCCGCGGGAAGGCGCACCTGCGCCCGGCTCCGCCCACCCGCGCCCGGCTCCGCCCACCCGAGCAAGGCCTCCCGGCCCCGCCCCTCTCCCCCGCCTTTACCTGCATAGAATTCGGGTCCGTAGACTGCACCTACCACGGGGTTGAGCTTCCAGCCTAGAACAGAGACAGGGCCCAGTCACTGTCTTCCCAAGCCCGTCCCGCCTCACCTTAGGACAGAGTCGCAGGGACGTCCCAGGGCTGGCCGGGTCCCTCGCTCTGCCCCAACACCCCCCAGTGAGGCTCTGCCGACCCTGCACCCACTTCCCTCCGGACGTTTTTCCCACATGTCACACGGGCGCCCAGGACACCAGCCCCAGCAGTTTCCGGTTCGAGGGAGAGTGGAGCGCAGCCTCGGCTGCAAGGAGGGATTCTGTCTTGGGGCTCTTTCCCCACCTCCTGTCCCCAAATCTCCTTTCTGCTCCGGAGCTCCCTTTCCCAGTGCCAAGTCTTGGGCTCTGCCCTCTTATCCTCCTGTCCACAGCAGGACCCCTGAAGGAGGGAGAGGAAGGGCCACTGGCTTCGGACCAAGGGTGATGACGTTTGCAGTTCCTGCCAGGTCTGGTGCCCATGGGGTCCTTACCACCCACGAGGTGGATGGCACACCCTTCCCACTTTGCAGAAGATATGGAGGCTGAGGGAGGTGCAGGAAGACTGGCCATGAAGGAGGTGTGAGGCCTCTCCCAGGATCCCCAGCTGGAACCTGCATGCCAGTCCTCCCCTTCCCAGGTGGGCCCGTCCTCTCACAGAGGACCAAGGCACAAAGGTCTGACTCCACCTGGAGCCTCTGGGAGTGGAGATCGGTTGGCTCTGAGCAGCACCAGCCAGGCACAGGACAGGGCCAGGCCCAACCTCAGCACTGTGAGGAGGGACAGGAGGGACCTCAACCTGCCAGCCAGCTGGTGAGATACATCCTGGAGAGGGTGGCTCTTCTCCACATGGACTGCATGTGACAGCCCCTCACCCAGATTCTAACAGCCTCATCACAGGGCAGGTAGATGAGAGCCATCCGGGGACCCCTCTCCAGCCCCTCCAGGAGACTGAGCTGCCTGCCATGCCCAGTCCACCATCTCTCCACCTAGACTGGATGTCAGGGCTGGGACTCTGGAGTCTTCCAGAAATCAAAGTTTAGAAAAGGAGAGTGCGCTTTTCTTAGTGAAACCCCCATGATGGAGTGAGCCCTGAGGCTAACCCAGGTGCACCTTCCCCCGGCGCCACCCTAGATGAGGGAGACTCTGAGGCGAATGTCTGCTTCAGGGGCCCTGGGGCCTTGACTCTGGCTTCCTGGATGCCCCTGTCAGTTCTGGCTGTCCAGGTACCTCCACCTCTCTCTGCTGGCCCCACTTTAGTCTGGAGCCCCACAGCTCACAGAGGCATCTTGAGACCCACGGGGTGGCCCCTGTTTCAGTTGTAAATAGGAACACCTGGTCAAAGCTGGTGTGTTTGTCATCTGCGGAGGGAACTTCTGCCCTCTCCTGAAGTTCAGCGTGCTCAGAGTGGTGAGCATGCTCAGACTACTCTGGGCCAGCCTGCCGGGGTCTAGGCACCCCCCTGCAGCCCTGTGATTCTTGCCCAGCTCTGTGAAGGCATTTCAGTGAGACTGCTCTTGCAGCCAGGTACACAAAGGTTCTGCCACTCTCCATTTCCCAACATCTGGCCAGCACTGGTGACAGACCCTTAGGAACCACACAGCTGGCTGGGGATGAATTCCACTCGACATTCCTCACTGTCGGCATTCGGGTGCTGCCCAGAGAGCAGTGGCAGGCTCTTGAGTGAAGGGTGGGCAGTGTTCCAGTAGTGTCACGGCACCCTGCTGATCAGCCTAACCCTGTGAACATGTCTACTGTTCTCTGCAGCCAATTAAGTCAATGGGGCTCCTTTCCTTGTGGGGGCCCAGTGTTTGCAATGGCTGCAAACAGCAGCCTCCTTGGTAATATATGCAGCTGTTGCTTGGATGGCTGGCCTAAGGGACCTTGGAGGCAGAATTTGCACTGCATGCCCTTGACTCTGCCCTGTGCTCCCAGTTTGAGCTTCAGTCAGTTATTTGGGGTGCAAGTGTCTAGCACTGACATTGGCCCATTGCCATGTCCACCTGCACCAGCTGCAGAACAAGGAGCATGTGATTGACACCCTATGCAGGGCCAAGTTCAAATCCTCTCAAGTTCTTTGATCGCCACATTGCAATGAAGTGGGGCTTTACCAGGTTTAAAGTGGATGAATTTGGAAATGTAGCGACTGAGAAGCAACTTGTCCCAGGGTGGTTGTGGGGTCAGATGCACCCCTAGTCATGGGCCCCTAAACAAATGTGGGTCCTTGCACTCATGAGGGCTTCTACTATGCTGCCCACTCATCATGCCCACGAGTAAATCCTACTTCCTGTGTCAACACTTTTACTTCTCCTGCCTAGCACCAGATCACAGAAGTCTCAGCCATAATGTACTGGGGACACTTGCAAAGCTGGGGTACTGCTAGTTTTTAGAAAGAACTTGAAATTTGAGTCTTCAAAAAATCTGGGAGGAAGGACACAATATTCAACTCTAATTGGGCCTGGCCAGAGCCCCTCTCCTCCTCTAGGACCTGACACATGCATCAGATTGGCCCATGCCCCGGGGCAGGCTTCTGTGCTGGTTGGTCACCTGACTCCATGTGGGGCAGATCACATGGGGACAGGAGTGGCTGGATGTGATGTGGTGCACCCTGTCCCTATGCAGGGGTAGGTGGCTTGCAGAGAGACCTGTCCTGACTATGGGCAGCAGGATCTAGAAAAGGCCTTGGCGTGTGGCTGCAGTGTTCGAAGCAGTCCCCTGGCCTTGTGGAACTAAGGCGTGCAGTGGCCACCAGCCATCCCTCCAAGGGTTTCCATGGCCAGCTCTTAACATCGGCCGATGTTCAAAGGAAAGGTGCTTAAAGGAAAACCCTGCACCCTGCTGCAGTCAGGTGCACACATGTGACCAGGCAGTTAACTCGGGGACCGCGGGGTCAACCTGGTGCTCACAGCATCGTCAACACTTCTAAAGCCCAAGGGGCACAGCTCCTTCCACAGCGTCGCACTTGATCCCGAGCACTTCTGCCCCTGGACCCTAGGCTGCACTTAGAGCATTATTTGCCCTTTAACAGCCCTGGGCAATGGATATCACTATTCCTGCTTTGCAGATGAGGAGACTGCAGCTCAGAGAGGTCTAGAAGCTTGTCCAGGATCATCCAGCATGCCTCGAGTTCTTCCTGAGCGTGTGCATACTATGTCAGGGCAGCAGGTCTGACCAAGAACCCTTCCAATGTGAGCCCCTGGGTGAACTTATGCCAGCACCCCGGAGGCCATGGCGATTCCACGGTGCCCAAAGACTATTCACATGGCCTCTGGGGTACCAGGGGCTCCGTTCTGATGCACGGGTGGAGGTGGTCACCCCAGAACTCTTGCCTCAGTTGACCACCCCTTCTAGCTGGACAGAAGCAGGAGAGCTGGGTCACCAGCAGTGGAGGACGGCACCTAGGAGGGCTGGCCTGCAGCAGTCTTGGCTCCCTGGGGCCAAGAGTCCTAGGGCCTCTGCCTGGCCCCTGCAGCCTGCCGGGGCCCGGTGCCCCTTACCATTGGTGTAGGGATTCCCGGTCTTCTTGTTAGTCATGACTCGGGCTGTGGCATTATTGACCTGCCAGAGAGGGAGAGAGGAGGGGAGGGAGTGTCAGCCTCCGCGCAGGCCCACTGTCTACCCCAGTCCTGCCCATGCTGCTCCTGCCTCCCCATGGTTTCCGGGGAGGGGGCTGGGAGCTGGAGGGAGGCCCCAGGGCGCCCAGGCTGCCACCTGGCCTGGCCCAAGGCCCCTGGTCCAGACCTGCACCTCCTGCTCTTCGTGGGCTCTTCCAGTAAGGAGCCCGGCCTCTCTGGCAGCCCAGGACTGTAGGAGAAGCTCGCTGCCAGCTCCCCAAGTGCCCCCGGAGCAGCCGCCCGTGGCCTCCAAGACCTTTTCTCCCTGGAAGCTGCTGAGGCCCTCCTAGGTACAATGGCCACTCCCTGCCCCCAGAAGGATCACCCCTCCCCCTCAGGTCAGGGTCCTCAACTGGTCTGGGCCCCCAGTTTTCTGCTGGGGTCTGTGTGCACGGGGTGGGCAAGGCAGGTGGGAGCTCTGGACAGGAGGGCACCCAGGGGCCTGTCAGACTGCTCAGGGGGACACAGTGGACAGGAGCCTGTGTGGAAGGGAGTAGGGAAAAGGGCAGGTGGTGCCCATGGAAGGATTCGGGCCACACGGCCTGCTCCCACATCCTTGGTGTGAGCCGACAGGGCCTGGGCTGTGTCCCCTGGAGCCCACTGGGCACTGCTGGTTCAGGGCCCACTGAACACCTTTGGCTTCTGAAACCTCCCTCCTCTTGCCCGTGGGCTCCTCCTTAGCTGCCTCCGGCCTCCAGCCTCTCCTGGAGGCCCTGCCTGTCTGGAACCCAGCTGGGGTCCACCAGAGCCACTGAGGCAGGGGGAGTGGGGTTGGGAGGCCCTTGGCTGCCCTTCGGGTCACTTGCTGCTGCCTCTGCCTGTATCCAGCAGGAGCTGGGAGTGAAGGCCGAGGGACCCAGGGGCACAGTACAGGGCCTGTGTGGGGGGGGTGGGCAGGGGCAGCTCTGCTCCCTGCTGAGAAGGGCCTGGAGTCAGCTCCTGGTGGAGTCAGCCGCCTGCCAATGGGGACAGACGGGCAGCCACTCTGCTTCAAGTTGCTAAGCCTCAAACACAGTTTCTGGGGCTTCCTGGAGTCTGGCTGGGGACAGGGCTCTCCTGGGAAGTGGAAGGAGGGGGAGGGGAGGGACCTTGGGGAGCCTGAAGCCCAGGCAGTGGGCTCAGCCAGAGGCCAGCCATGGGGCTCTGGCCTCAGTGTGGCCCTGGCTCCTGCCGCAGAGGACCCTGGCGGGGTTCTGCTGGGCGGCCAGCGGCGGGCTGGCGGGGCCCCAGAGCGACCTCCCTGGCGCAGCACACTTATCTGAGCACCTCAATTTTTCGTCCCTCTACGATCGTCCCATTCAGCTTCTCCCGGGCTCGGTCAGCATCTGAGCTAGTTTCAAAAGTTACAAACCCAAAACCCTGTGAGCAGAGGAGGACAGACACGGAGAGAAGACAGGATGAGAAAAGGGGGAAGAGAGGAGTGGGGAGGGGGCACGGGAGAGGGCGAGGGGGAGGGGGAGAGAGGGCCGAGTCAGGAGAGGCGGAGAGCCTCGGGCAGCCCAGAGGTCTGTCCTGCTGCCACCGCGGGATGCACGGGGCGTGTGGGCCCTGAGCGGGGGCAGCTGCTGCCCGGCCTGAGCCCGACTGGAGCTGATCGCCTGCCCCTCTAAGGGGAGAGGCCAGAGCTACAAGAGATGCTGACCTGGCCAGGGGCCAGGCCTGCACCCCAACCCCTCCTCAGGCGGGGGCCAGGGCTGGGCTTCAGGACACACGGGGAAGCAGCCCCACCCACCCCTGCCCTAGGAGCCTGGGGTGGGGGTCTCGCCTTCCTGGAGGGGCGACAGGGCTTGTCTTTGCCGGGCACCCTCCCAGCCGGCCCACCCTGCAGCCCCTTCCCCCAGCCTCCAGGCCATCTCCAAGGGCAGGCCTGCGGCCCTGGGGGTGAGTGGGGGGTGGGGGGACCCAGGCCCAGGGTGGGGCACTGGGGTACAGGCCAGGGTCCTGGCAGCTCAGAGAGAAACAGCAGCAACAACACAGACAGCTGGGGGCGGGCGGGAGCGCGGGGAGACAAGCACCCTGTCGCCCGGGGTCCTCGGGCGCGAAGCTCTCCAGAAGGAAACGCACATTTCACAGTTAGCCTGGCAGGACCTACAGCTGGCGCGGTAATGGTGGCGGCCTCTGCGTGGCACCCACCTTGGAGCCCCGCTCGTTAAAAATGATCTCCACGTCTAGAATTTTCCCGAATTGCTGCAGAGACAGAAGCAGAGGGGAGGGCAGGGACACAGGAGAGAGGGTTAGGACAGGACCCGTCCACTCCGCTCCAGAGACGCCCCCCAGGCTGCGAGACCAGAGCCCCAGGGCCCCTCCCCCTCCACAGCAGGGCTGGCAGGGACGCCCACACCCTCTCCCGGAGGCCTGGGTCTTCCTCTTGAGGGGCAGTGCAGGATACTGGCCCCACTGCTGGCTGGACTGGGGATGGGGGGTGCTGTATCAGCAGGGTCCTCTGGGACATGGCCATGTGGGGAGGGACGCCCAAGGCATCACTTGTCATAAAGGGTGAAGGTCACTGGGGCCCTTCTCCACAGGTGGGATGGGGAGGGGGGGTGGCATGAGCTGGGGCTAGGAATGGGGGTGAGGTGACAGTGTCAGGACCCTTGGTTGGGAAAGGGACCCTCAGGCTTCCCTGAGATGGGGAGGAGGAGAGGAGGGGTGGTGGGAGGAGGAGGAGGCTGAGGAGGGGAAGATGAGGGGAGAGAGGGCAGAGGGACCAGGGAGGGGGTCCAGGGCCTCACGCTGGGGCCTTGCAGGACCCTGCGCTGCCTGTGCTGGGTGGGCCGGGCTATGTCAGGTGCAGAGCAGCAGGGACCAGAGCCCAGGCCCCTGGGTAGGACACACTGCAGTAGGCCAGGACACTCTGGCTGCCCCTTCCTGCACCATCACCAGCCGAAGTCCCTGTGGGCGCCTGTCTCTCACTGGTAGGTGAGGCCATGGGCCTGTGAGCCAGGTCCCTGAATAAGCCCACCAGGTCCTCGGGGGCTCAACCTGTATCCCATGCCGGCAACTGACGCGGTCCCCTTCCCCTTGAGCAGCCCCAGGGGCCGGACAAGAGCCTTGGAGGCCCAGCGAGCCAGCGCAGCAAGCCCCCAATTTGTCAGGTTCTGAAAAGTGCAGGACATTGTCTCTGCACTAAAGGGACCCAGCAAGCAGACGCCGGCCAAGGGCCTGGGCTGGGGAGAGCTCAGAACTGTCAGTGGCTCTACCCAGGCACAGGCTCAGAGAAGAGCCCTAGGCCCCAAGGTGGGAGGATGCAGGGTGCTCATCACCCCCAATTCTGAATCATTTTAGCCCTCAGCAAGTCTGGGCTCCAAGTCAAGGAGGGAGTGGACTTCCATGGTCACCTTGGGCTGGGGACTGGGATTTGACCATCTCTGGGCTGCTGGGAGGCACCTCCGGTTTACCTGACAGGCTCAGAGAGAGGGAGCACCCTGTCCCCAGGCACCCAGGGGAGGTCTTGCTTGGGGCTGCTGCTCTGTGTGAGGCCAGAGGCCGGGCTGGCCTGCAGGTGCCAGGTGCTAGGGGACAGCAGTTAGATGGCAGAGAATGACCAAACCCGCTGCCACGACCAGGGGACTCCACAAGTTCCTGAAGACAGGTGGTATGGGTGGAAGGCGGACTTCTGGTGGGGAATGGGGACGGTGGGGGACAGGGGTAGTCACAAAAGACCCTCTTCCTGCCCTGCCCCACAGCTCCAGCCAGCTGGACCTACGCAGGAAGGACTCTTGGAACCTCTCCACCCGCACCGGGAAGCTGCTCTGGCACCCGGGCTGAGTGCAGGCTGGCAGGGATAGATGGGCCCTGGCACACTCACCCCGAACATTTGCCGCAGGTCGGGGTCCCTGAACCGGAAGGGGATGTTGGAGACGTGTAGCCGCTTGGGCTGCTGCTTCTCTGTGGGGTCGGAGGGGTGGAGTGGCTGGCTGTCCGTCTGTGCCGCCTCATCTGCCTGCTACGGGGAGAGGACCTGGCTGTGGAGGGGCCTGCTCACCCCGTCTGCAGCAGGCGGTCCCGGGCCTGGGCCCAGACCGAGGATCTGGGCCGAGTTCCCACACTTCGGCGTCTCCACGTCGAGGACCCACCTCTGAGACTCTGCCCAGATGCACAGGCGAGGCCAGCTCCCTCCTGCCATCCCAGCACCAGGCCTCCTCGGCCGCCTGCTGTGAGCTCGTCTGCTCAGGCCTGACCACAGAGGGGAAACCTCAAGGGCCACTCAGTCCCAGTGAGCACTGTTGCTCTCAAGGATGTTTTGGGGGTGTAGAGACCCTGGTGTTGTCTCGGCCAGATAGACTTCAGAACCAGGCCTCTGGGCACATGCATCTGTAAAGGCCTCTCATGGCGAGCTCCTGCAGAGGTTCCCTCTTATTCTAGCCCTGCTACTGCCACTCAGGACCCTGGGGGCCCTCTAGGAACCCATCTGAAAGCCTGACAGCAAGGTCTGTCCCACACAGCTGGTCCTCATGTAGGTCCAAATGCTGGCCAGCACAGGGGCTCCGAAGGGACTGAGTTTCAGAAAACAAGCTGCCCATGCGCCAGCCCTCCCCTCACAGTTCCCAGTTAGAAGCCCAGGCGTCCTGAGGCAGCATGAAAGAGGCCTTGCCTGCATCTGGTGGTCAGGCCACGAGCTCACCACAAGGCTGGCCTCCAACCTGGCTCAGTGCTGATGCATCCACCACAGCAAGGGCAGATAGTGAGCTCCAGTCCTGGACACCAGGCCTGAGGCCTCACCTGCCAGTCACGCTCACACCCCAGGCCACAGAGAGCCAGCCAGCCTTGCACCTTGCTCTGCTCAGGTGGTGGGCAGCACTGCCGCGGAGTGTCCACAGTGGTGGCCAACGTCGGGCGTGGGCACCCAGCCATGGGGGCGTTCCCTTCCTGCCTCAACTCCCTGCTGGTCATTGCGATTTTGAGGGACCCCCTCCAGACACATGGCTTGCACTTGGATCTCTGACTTGCTTCTGGGACAGGTACCAGCTGATGGCACTGGGTGGGGGTGTCTGGCTCCAGCCACCCTGGGCCTCTGTGGGCACAGACAGAGGGTGCCAGGAGGTCTGTGCTGCAGTTGGGACAAGTGGAGGAGCTGGTGGCCATGGTCTCCCGGGTGGCCCTAGGAGCAGAGGCAGCCAGCCTGGCAGTGCAGGGGAAAAGCTGGCCAGAGACACCCAGAGCGGGTCCCCAGGAAGCGCCTGGTTTGCTCGGGCCATTTCAGGAGGGCTGTCGCCTGGAGTGGACGGTGAGTGGGGCTGAGGCCTTACACCACAGTCAGGGAAATGGAGCCCAGGAGGTGGCCCCCCTCAGGCCACAGGGCAGCTAAGGGGCAATGGACTCGAGTGGCCATCTGGCTTTCTCTGTCCCCTTTCTGGAAGGTTGGGCCACTCGCTCATACTCCTGAGCTTAACAGGAGGCCTCTGACCAGGCTTCAGGGCAGCTGGAGGCCTTAGGTGACCAGGAGCCTGCACCTCCTAAGCAGCAGAGGGCCCTGGTGATGGCCCCTGGAGCCCAGGCAGGAGCCGGGAGCCTGCAGGGTATGGAGCACATTGTCCCCTGTACACAATGCCTTCCTGCGCGGGCAGATGAGCACGCGGCACACACACAGGTCAGGGCGGCCGCAGCCAGGCGCCCCCACCCCCAGGGCCATCAGCTTATACCCTGGTCTCATGTCACCTGGACTGCTGCCCCTGAGGGGCTGAGTGGCCAGGTTCTTGGAGTGGGCAGGGCCTTGGGCTTTGGCAAGCTGGGCCAAAGGTCAACCCAGGAGCTCATCCATGGGGGCTGCACGTGGGGTGGACGGCTTCGTGGCAGGAAGAGTTGGTGGGGGAGGGGGCGGACAAGCCTCTGGAGACTGCCAGCCCGGCTTGCGTGACAGCCCCACTTCTGTGGGTCATGCAGGGCAGCAGGCTTGGGCTCTGAGGGCACACGGGGCTCCTCCTGAAGGCCTGGAAGGCCCACACCCAGCTTCCGGTGCTGCTGCCCCGCCGACGCAGGCCTTGCCCAGGAAGCAGCACTGCCCAAGCATGCCAGGGCCTTGCATAGGTCTGAGCTCACTGTGTGGCCACGGCAGGTGTTGTACAGGGGCCTGTCATGGAGTGCACCCCTCCCCGTGCATTCCATGCACCCGTGTCTTCCACAGCAGCTCTTGGTACCCGTGTCCTGGATGTGGGAATCCAGCCTGGATAGGGACATGCAGTGCTGGCTTTGGACCACCAGAGGGCATTGGTCAGCGCAGCCATGTGCTACCAGGAGGATCGAGGAAGCCCTCCCCAGAGAAGGCCAGTGGGGAGGGGGCCTGGGACTGGTGCTGATGAAGTTGGGGTGACCGGACCACCACACCCCACCTCAAAGGCTCTAAAGGGGCACAGGTCAGGAGAAAAGGGGTGAGGGGCATGCACATGGTGTGAGCCGTGAGGTGTCGGGGCTCAGGAAGAGCCCCCCTGCCTGCCCCGCCCTTAGCTAAGCTGTAGACAGGCAGATGGATGGGCCCAGGGACTGTAAACTGTAAGGGGTGCTGAGAAGCCCCTTACACTGCACGCTGCCCCTGCCCCTGCGCGGGATGGAGGCCTGCCCACCATTTATCACAGCGGCTCAGCCGCCTCCTCCCCGCGGCTTTCTGAGGCTCCCCGACTTGTTTTTAAAGCAGTCTGTGCTTCCAGTTCTCCAACGTAGGGAGAACGGAGACTACAGCAGTGTCCCCCCGGGAGTGTGGTGGCTTTGCTTCAGGGTCGCCTCATCACTGGGTCTCACCCCAGCAATTATGGAGCCTCCCCCTCCGGCCTCCACCCACTCGAGGCCAGGAGTCAGCTCCTATCGGCTGGGCAGGGTCTGGACTCTGTGCAGTGCATCTCCCACACTCCGAGGAGTCTGCACCCCCTTGGCCTGGGCCTCACTGAGCTCGGCACAGAGAGAGGCAGTCAGAGAAAGAAGGCTATGTGGCTTTCTCTGTCCCCTTCTGGACCCCGCAGCCCCTACATGGGGACAGAGCCAAGCTCTGCTGACGCGGCACAGGATGAACCGGCTCTTGGAGAGCTTCCTCTGCAGCCCCATCTCCGTCACCCTGTTCCCCCAGGGACCTCCTGGGCCCTTGTCAACCACCCTGCCATCAGCTCCGGTGGACGGCCTGGCTCTCCCTGGTGGGCCCCAGTCGCTGAGGAGTAGGGGCCCTCTGCACGTGGCCTCCAGCCGTCGGCCAGGAGCGCCTTCTTCAGCACGGGGAGCTGGGCAGCCCCTCCTCTGGCAGCCCCCGGTGCTCCTGCTTGGCCTTTGAACGACCACCTCTTCCCAGCGCCGCTGCTGGCCTCTGCACTTGTGGCATCGTGGTGGTGGCTGCGTCGCCCGCCCCGCCCGCTCCAGCCTGGAGAGTGGCTTCGTGGCTGAGCCACCGTGGGGTGGTGTGGGGCCGACTCCTCCTGCCATTCTCAACCACCCTCCTGCCAACGTCCACCCCTGCCCTGGAGCGGAGAAGGCAGGGACCCAAGGCTGCAGCTCCTGGAGGAGAGGCCCATTGTCCACCTTCCTCCACCTTCCTCCACCCGGCCAGCCCCAGCCCTCTGGTGCAGGTGCACTCTTCCGGCATGTTCTATCCGCACATCAGTTTCTCTGACATGCTGAGGTGCCCTTAAACACAAAGATGGGGGGACCCCTGTAGGTCCCCCTGCGCTGCCACACTCACATGACCTTGAGTGAATGAATGAGTGATCCTGGGGACACCTGCCATCTAGACCCTTAGGGTGCTGCAGAGTAGTAATGTAAGGTCCCCAGGTCCCCCTGCAGCACCCCTCTCCACCCCGGGCTGCCCTCTGTCCACAGAGTGCCGCCGTGTCCTGGTGATAACAGTGTGAGATGCGGACCCAGGCGCAGGAGCTCCGGGTGCGGGACTTCCAGACAGACGGCCTACTCCACAGGAAGAAGAGGGGCTCTGCCAGAGCGGAGGTCCCCTGGCGGAGGTCCCCTTGCAGAGAAGAGGAGCTGTCACAGGGAAGGACCTGTTGGGCCCACTGAGACTTTGGAAATCAGCACAAGCTCTGCCCTGGGGACCCTTGGAGCCAAGGCTGCTGGCAATCACAACTGGTCATCTGGTGGGGTTCCTGGCCTCTGCCCCCTCCATGGGATTAGACTGGGGTCTTTGTGCCTCTCTCCTGGGTGGTGGAGGTGTCCGGAGGGCCTTGAGTTGGCTGGAACATGGACCCCAATTCCCAGCAGGAAGCCTCTTGAGAGAAGAGGAGGAGGAGCCCTGGTGGGGCCAGAAACCCTAGGAAAGCCTTCCCTGAGCCTCAGCCCGTGGTACCCTTGGGGTGCTGGTGTGGGGAGGGGCAGGAGAGGAACTGCACACTGAGAGAGCCCCTGTACCCACACGCCCATCGGTCTCGGGCCACAACAGGTCTCCTGCGTCACCCTGGGTCTGGGCAGGTCCGGACTTCCAGAGGCCACCTTTTCAGGGGCTCTGGGTGGCTGACTGATGGGTACCTGGAAGCCCTGCAGAACGCGCCTCCCTCCTGGCCCTGGACAGCCCAAGGCAAGGTGCTCTCACCAGCAGGAGGAAATTCCTCCAGGGAAGGGCAGGGAGGCCCTGGTGCCTTTGCGACATCTGGGCTTGTGGCAGGGCCAGGGGCTGAGTGTCCTGACCTGGCACTGAGAGCAGGCACCTAAGAGGGGACCCCGGGGAGCACTGAGTGGAGGGAAAGAAGAGACCAGGGCACAGGGTGGCCCCCTCCCAGGAGCTCAAGGGAAGCGGGACCTGGTGGGAGAAATGAGGTTCAGGCCAAGGTTTGGCACCCGCCCCTGCGGCCAGCCCTGTAGCCCTGCACCCTAAAATCAGGCTTGGGGAAGCCAAGAGGAGGCTCAGATGAGCTCAAAGAGTGTCCCCACATCTGCAAGGACAGGATGCAGGCAGATGCTGCCAGCACCAGGCAGCTTCCCTGGGAGGGAGCCGCTCCTCGAACCCTGGGCCAGCAGAGACGGCATCTGCCGTCCTCTCAGGCTCCCTCCCAAGGTGGCAGGCTTCTCCTGCACGAGTGCTCCAAGGTCAAGGGCTCAGGCCCCCAGAGGCTCCCTGTTTTCGTGGGGTATCCCTGATGTTTCCAAGAACTCCTTCCTAGGGTGGTCCAGTCCCTCCCACCTGCAGCCTGCATTTGGCCCCAGGTCACAGAATAACTCTCTCCTTTGCATCCCAGCATGAAAGACCCGTGCATCTCCACCCTGACCCCTTTGTAGGACCCGAAGAGACCCAGCCCCAGGGAAGGAAGGCCAAGGCTGCCCGCTCATCTGGCTCCTGTCTTCTCTGGCCCAGGTGTGTTCCTCAGGAGGCACTCCAACCCCTGAGCAGCGAGGCTGGCCTTTTTTGGCTGGAATACTACTCTGGATGTAGTAGGATCCTTGTGGGCCATCGTTGCTGGCTCTGGGGTCCTCCCATGCAGCCAGGCCCCTTTCTGATGTTTTTGTCCTTGTCTGGTGGTAGCCAGAGGACAGGGCTGGTCATTTTTTCTCTGTACCCCAGAGTTGATTCAGAGACTGGCATACAGTGGTGCTCAGCAAATGTCTGGGTGAATGTGCAATGACAGAGGCCTCTACGTAGGTCCTGGTGGTGGTGTCTGTGGTGGCCCCAGGCTGTCCCGAGGCTGCAGGGCTCTGTCAGTCCCCACTTGGTGTCACCTGTAACCCCTCCTGTCTCAGCCCCGGCTTTCTTCCAGGCAAAGCTGAGGCTCAGCACGAGAGGCTCCCATTTGTTCATAAGGAGAAGTGGCGATTCAGCCAGGTAGGCCTTGTCTGCGGGTCCATCAGAAGAAAGCTGGGCCACCTGGCCACGACTTGCTCTTGGTGGATCTCTCTGGCTCGGGGGCCACCTCTCTGAGCACGCGTAGGTGGTGGGTGGGATGGATCGGGCCAGGGCGTCCCAGGAGGTATGGTCTGGCTCCCAGTTCTAGGAGCCCAGGGGTCTGGCCTTCTGTGTCTGTGGCTTACAGCTGGAGGAACTCTGGGGAGTCTGCCAGGGAGGCACAGAAAGGCCTGACAGCCCAGGGGGCAGCTGTGTGGGCTCTGTCCACAGAGAGCTGGGGTGACACTGGAGGCCTTCGCGGGCAGGAGAGGGTGACACTGGATGTGCACAGCATCCTGGGAGCCAGCCCAGGAGGGGGAAGGGCCGAGGAGTGCAGCTGGGGGCCGTTGGAGGCGCCAGGGCCGGGCCGCTCTGCTCTGGCCCGGCCCCCGCCAGCTCACAGGGCCAGCTGCTGGGAGGGAGCAGTCGGGTGAACCCACAGCCCTGAGCAGAATGCTGTCCAGAAGGCCAGTGAAGGATGGAGCCGGCGGGGCCTGGGGGGCCTGGCCTGCGGGAGGGGCTGCCCGGACAGGGAGCCCACGGGGTGGGACTGCTCCTCACCAGCTCCTGCTCCATCAGGAAATCTGAGAAGTGCAGGGATCAGCACTTTTGCTCCAGCTGCATTACAACCACATAATTGAAGCTATCTGATTGGCGGGCGGCCAAGCAGGTAGATTACAAGTGATTAGAAATGATAGGAGGGGCCTGCGCGCCAGACAGCCCCGCCGCCTCCCCTCACCCACGCTGGCGTGCCCCTGAGACCCCACGGGCCAGGCCTCTGGCCCCCGCCATCTCCCTCGCTTTCCATTAACAGGTCTCTGGTCGCCGAGGATAGGCTTCCCACCTCCCAGGTGAGCTGAGAGGTTTGTGGAGGCCAGAGACAGCTGGAGGTGGGCAGGGGGGCCACTGTCCCTCCATGCCCACCACTTGTCTCCTGGTGCCGGCTGATGATTGTGAAGTCCAGGCTGGGAGTATCTTGGCTGGGATGAGGACCCCTGGACAAGGGCCTGGACAAGTGTCCCCTCCTAGACCCCCCACCCGTTTGCCTCAGGCCCTCCTGAGCCACCCTCCTGCTACTCCTGGGCTGAGCCCCAGGGTGGTGAAGGACACTTACCGGCACTGTCTGGGTCCCAGTGATGGGCTGTGTGCTGGCCTCTGTGCCCGGCTGCTCTGGGTGGGTCTGTGCTGGTGTGTACAGGGTCATGCCATGCTCTGGGGGCACCGGGGTCTGGCCCGAGTAGTCCTGCGTGGGGTGCGGTGGGGGTGGGGCGTACTCAGCGGGGATACCATTCTGCGGCGGAGGAGGGTACTGGGCAGGGGGGTAGGGCTGGGCCATCGCTTCAGGCGGAGCCGTGGCGTCCTGATTACCCTGCAGAAGGAGAGAGAAGGCCTGTTTAGTCTTACCCTGTCCCCGAGCCCTCGGGGATGGGGATGGTGACTTTCAGGTGAGCCGAGATTTTCCAGAAGCCCTGGTGGTAGCCACCTAGTACTTTCAGATGCATTTTCCTGGTCCCCCAGCAGGGGCCCAGCTGAGAGCAGGAGGTGGTGCTGGACTGGGGGGCACCGGGAGTCCAGGTGCAGAACGAGACACCCCTGAGCACGGGCAGCTTGGAGTCCTCAGAACGCACTTCAGGTGCTTTTTCCCCCTTTACAACCCTCCTAACTTAAAAAGACCATTTTAGGTTGAGATGACTACAGACTCACATGCAGTTGTAAGAATAAGAGTGACGCCATGTGCTTTTGACCCAGTGTCCCCAGTAGCAATGCCCTGTAAGACCAACACCACTAAGATACCATTGATTTGGTCAAGATGTGCAATGTCCCCGCAGCGCGAGGACCCTTCCTGTCCTCTGGCTGGCGCACGTGCCTGGCCTCCCTGCAGGGCTGAGCCCTGCTTTCCCAGCCGCAAAGCTTCCCGTCCAGCCTGGATCCCTGGAGGCAGAGCAGCCCAAGTCCCAGAGATGGCCATCACGCGGGAGCCTCACCAACCAGAAGCTTCTACCTCCATCTCCAGGTCCTCAGGGAGGTCCCGAGGACCCCTCCCTGCCCTTGCAAAGGCCTGCTGCCCGGGGAGGGGACGTGTGCTCCCCGAATGCCAGCCCTAGCCCCTCCTGGGGGCTTCTAGTAGCCAGCACCGGCAGAGGGGGAGGACAGACCCTCAGAGTGGCGTGCAGGGCCCGCGGCGCAGCAGTCCCCCCAGGAGCAGATCCTTGGCCCCATCCAGGCTTCTGCTTGTGAGGACCACTGAATGAGGCCTATAAGAAGCCTGGCGGAGTCCTGCCCCAGACAAGAGCTTGGGCCTTCAAGCCCTCAGAGTGAGGGCCAGTGGAGGCAGGAGAGGGGGCCTCTGCTTTGCTTCCTCCCCACTGCACACACGCCCTGAGCAGAGAGGCACGGACCCAGGGCGTGCGTGGTGGGAGGTCTATCTCCTGGAAGGACAGGTGCCATCTCCTACAGGAACAGCCCTTCTAACAGCCCAACGGGAAGGGCTGCACATGGCCCAGCTCCCGAGGGACCAGGCGCGAGCGCCAGTCCCTGCTGCACTGGCTTTGCTGGAGGAGGAGGGCTGTGCAGCGGGGCGGCCGCCACCCGCACCTCGCACCTGCCGCTCCCCTGCAGCCGTCGACCACAGGCGTCCCTCATTATGCTGACGCCAGTGCGCAACCACTGGGTGCCAGGCCTGGGCTCCCCGTGGGAGGGTCTTCTCCTTGCTCCCCTGCACGTCTGCAGGGTCCCTTGGCCTGGCTCTTCACCGTCCTCTCAACCCACCTCCCTCCGCCACAGCCTCAGGGTTGCAGGCCAAGGGCCTTCGCCTGCCAAGGGGGACCCCTCATGTGCCCCGTGTCCCCCCCAGGCCCACCCTACGTGCTTTAATGTCTCGTCTGTCTTCACCTCAGGACGGGTGTCCCGCAGAGAGTGGCCAGGCCTTGTTCTCCGTCACATCTCTTGCTAGGTGACTACTTGTCCCCCAACGCTGATTCTCCAGCATCTGGGGTGTGTCAGACCTGAACCGGGCTCAGCTTGATCAGCAGGAAGGGAAACTCGCACCACAGCTGCCCTGATGCCAAATTAGCTGTGAGAGTACCGAGCACCCCAAGGAGCCTGGCTGCCACTGGGGCCGTGGTGAGCAAGGCCAGGGCCGGAGGCTGGGCCCTGCCCAGTGCTGGCCCCGCCCATGTCTGCCTGGCCACCAGTTGGGAGGGGGCAGGGTGGACAGTCGGCCCTGCCCTGCTCCCCTTAGTGCCCACTGTCACCTCGGCTGGGCTCTGCAGTGGCGGCTGTCCCCTCTCTGTCACCCTAGGACACACCAAGCGAGGGCTTCAGCCAGAAATCCTCTCCTCTTCCCTTCTTTCTCCATAGCAAAGCCACCTGGTCTCTCCCTCCCTCCATAGACACTGGGAACTGGGGCAGCACCGGCCCTCTGAGGGAAGGACAGCCGGGCACAGGCACACACTCACTCAACGCCTGCGCCTGGAGGGTCCTGCCTACTGCTACAAAGCGGCCGGGAGGCCACGCCACCCACTGCTGGCTGGCACACTGGCGTCCAGCCTGGGAAGTGGGGACCTAGGACAGGGAGGTGGGAGCAAGGGAGTGTCCAGCGCAGTGGGAGAGGACCCAGCACCTGGGATGGCCCCGGGGGTGGGGGCAAGGCCAAAGGATGGACAGGAAGCAGGGAGCGTGCAGGGCGCAGGGCCGGGAGGGCGCGGGCCTGTCAGTGGGCCTTGGCAGACACTGGGGAGATCGATTCACTGATGAATATTTGATTAGCGCCTTCACTAACTTACACCATCTTCCCCGCGCCCCCCTCCTCCAAGGCCAGAGGAAGGATGGGCGCCCCACCCATCCCTCTCTCCCCCCCAGGGCCCCTCCCTGGGTTGCATTTGGGACTGTGTGATAGCTGCCAATCAAGCCTACTGTGGTGGTTCCTGCAGGGCTGAGCCCAGAGCTAAAGAGCACAGTCACGGGGACCTGCCAATACAGAGGCACCAGGCAGTGTGCTGTGCAGCAGGAACGTGACAAACATGTCCCCGTGGATGAATGGCTGCACGTGAAGAAAGAGGGACAGTCCTGTGGACACGGTCACCGACTGAGCTCTACAAGCCATCTCACTGAGTCCCCACACCACGCCAGTAAGGCAGGGTGGGTGTCACTCTGCTCTGCAGGCAGGAACAGGAGGCTCAGGGCCGAGTCCCCCCCTGCTCCTGCCCTGTGGCTGGGGAGGTTGGCCAACACCCTCGGGTGGGGGATTCAGACTGAGCAGGTCTCTCCGGAACCCCGCTGCGCTGGCCTGCCCTGTGCTGCCCTCTGCCTCCTTGTCTCATGTTTGTCCACCCATTCCCCACGTGGGAGGGCTCACGATCACCACTTTTTTTGTCATTGTAGATGGACAGAATTCCTTTTTTATTTGTTAATTTTCGCGTGGTGCTGAGGATTGAATGCAGTGCCTCACTCATGCTGTGCAGCAGCTCTGCCACTGAGCCCCTGCCCAGCCCGCAGTCACCAGTTCTACTGAGGCGCTCGAGTGCCTGGCCAGGCTCACAGAGCAGGTGAGCCCAGAGCTCTGAGGCCCACAGGACTGACCTACTGCATGCACTCTCTGCCTGTGTCCCCAGGGGGCTGGGGAGGAGGGGGATGGGTCAGCGAGGGCACGTTCCAGCTCCCTGGAGCCACCTGGGAGCTTCTCCTGCCACTCCAGGTTAGTGACCCCACCTTCCCAGCCGGAAGCAGATCACGGGAGTGTTGACCCCACAGCAGTCAGTGAAGGTGGCACTCGGGCCTGGATCAGTCCCAGGAGAGGGTCACATTCGCTAGCACCTGCTGCCTGGTCCTTCAGACCCCACCCCAGCTGTCCCCTGGGCTGACCCAGGCCTAATGCTGGGGCAGACGAGGGCACTGACCAAGGAGGTTTGCAACGAGCTCAACATTTGAAAACGGAGCGTGGTTCCGGCAGCATTCACAGGGGCCCTGAGTGCGCAGGAAGGGGACTGAGGCACACTGTGTCCAGGAGGAGGCTCTGGTCGGGTGGGGCTGCTCCTGGGTGGCAGCATGGTGGCTGGCAGGCAGCGAGCTCCCGGGAGGGTGGTGTTCGTCCTGGCAGGGGGACCCGGGCCATGAACAGAGATCTGGAACCAGCTCAGGTGTGGGGCAAGGAAGTCAGTGAGGGAGGGCAGCTGTGCCGGCCCTGAGGCTGGGCCCAGTGCTCCAAGAGACTGCCTCGCGTCTGGCATCTGCCCAGCAGGCTTCTGTCCACCTGTCACCCTGTCCCTGTTCTGAGAGGCTGAGACTGGACTCCATGCTCCCTGGCTTCCGGGGGCTGGAGGGAAGCATGATCTGGGGTGCTGGTTCCCTGACTGGGGAGGCCGTCTCAGGCTAGCTCCATCTTGGACCAAGGGGGGCCTGGCCTCCTCTGATGAGGCCCTGCTCTGACCCCCCTCCATCACGGGTTCTGGCTCCTGTGCTGTCCCTGGTGATCCCTCCTCCTGCCCTCTGGACACTTCTGTAAATGGTCTTGAAGCAAACTTGCCTCAAATTATTCTAGACAAGCCACCTGCTGCCTGCTGGGTCCTGACGTCCCCATGCTGGATGAAAGGGCTCCTCTGGCCTGAGAAATGGGCAGTGAGGCTCTGAGACAGGCAGGGCCCTGCAGCTGATGGCCTAGTTGGCCTGGCCTTGGCTCCTGCACTTGGGGTGGAACTGCCCTTGGTCCCTGGACCCCAAGCACTGGCCTACCATCGCCATTGCTGAGTGAACCCAGGCATGGCCTTCACCTATTGGACCTCAGCAACCCAGTCTGTGGAATGGGGACGGGGAGCTGTCCACCTGCAGGCAGAGGCTGGGTGGCAGGGCCCATCATCCCCAAGACCTAGGCCTGAGGGAAGGCTTCTGCTCACGCTGCTGGCCGGGTGCCTCCTTGTCCGGCCTGTGTCCTGCAAGCCTGTGTGCGGTGCTGGACAGGACACAGTGCTCTGGAAGCCTGGCAGCGGCCAGAGCCCTCCCTGCACAGCCTGGCCTCCCTCCCTCTGCACAGTCCCTTCCTGGCGCCGTCCACTCCTAGGCCCTCCAGGCCAATTAAGCTAATTGCTCTCCGACTCCTCACCCCTGGAGAGAGGGCGCTGCGTGCCCGAGGTCTGCAGGCCAGGCTGCAGTGGGAAGCCGGGCACTGGGCCATTTCTCCCCACCTCTGGGCAGAGCTGGCTTCGAGGTGGGAGTGAGAAAAGAGCAGGGAGTGGGAGCCCCGTGACCACCTGGCGTGTACACCAGCCTGTCTGTCCTGAGAGGCAGTCCACCCACCCGCATCTGAGCCTGCCCAGGAGTGGACCTCACCCCCACAGCCACCCCCAACCATCTATCTCCCCCTGACCTTTGGAG